AATGGTGAAACAGCTGGAGCTGCTTGCACCATTATTATTCTCCGCCTCAAAAGAAGTTCTTCACCGATGGCAGGCTTTTTTCACCATGCAAACACATCCTCTGTATTTTATTCTTTCAACCACCTCCTTGGAAGGGTATTGCAGTATTTGCGTATATCCAAAAACCTCTTATTATCCAAGTATTTCATAATGTTTAAAAGCACATTTGGTCATCCAGAAATGCTGGCTTTTGTTATTGGGCATTTCTACCCCAGCCTTGCAAAAAAAAAAAAAAAAAAACACATAGCACACATTACACACAGTTGTACATCTCACACACACACACCTTGTCAATAACAACAATATTTGAATACCAAGTAAAAAGATACATAATAACAGGTCGAGAAAAACACAATGTAAAGTCAGTGATTACAAAGCTGAGTAGCTTTTGGCAAATTGCAATTTGGCTTTAAAGCTATGGATAGAACTGTAACTCTGCATGGCATCTGGAGTAATGTTCACACAGAAAGCTGACTGGCCAATGGCAGTGTGGTAGTTCGTTTGTGTACATTGTACAGAGATGACTGCAAATAGGCAAGAAGCTGTGTGTTGCAAACTGCTGTAATATTATTCTATATTGTTAAAACCCAAATAATGTCAGGATATACCATGTGTCTTAATCAGAGAATGCTACATGCACATTTAGGCCTAAAACCTAATATTCAATCTAATTGTACAGTTGACCCTTATCAAACGTGGAATATGGTGATATTAGGGATAATAGTGGAATATTCGTGTGCATGTAAACGTAGTCAAAAACACTTTGATACTTTCGTTTCCGTTTCAGATCATGCGGCACTAATTTAATGTTGTTTAATGTTCTAGTGATAGAAGTCCTGGGTTAATGAAATCATGTGTCTTAGGGTTGCAGCTTATGGAAGCTGATTTAATAGATTGTAACTGCAGTTGAAAGAATTTGCTTCACTTTCTACTGAATTGTGATGCATTTAGTTAATAAATAATGTGAATTGGTCTCAAGCAGGATACCATGAACAAAGCTGTCCATGTTTAAATTATATTTGACTCTCACAGAAATATTTAAGCCGAGGACGCTCAACATCACAACAGATCTTCACTACATCATTGCTTGTACTGATGGGAAATACGGTCCAAAGAGGAGTCCTCCAGTCTTGTGTGTATATTTATGTGGGTTATTCTATTGCGCTAGGAAATGTAATTAATTTGTTTTTTTTCTTTTGCTTGCCTTATATAGAATTCACAGTGCCAGAACAAAGTCTTTGCAGGGAAATCATGTGGAAACTATCAATGTTCAATCCACCGTGTTTACACTTTGGCATTCACAGCATATTGTCTGAGGAAATGCTGTTTCTGGGGCTCAAACAAACTGTGAATTTGAGTACTTGTATTTGCTTTCAGCCACTTAATAAGCAAACAAACAATAGAATATTTTCATATTTCAACATGTCTTCAACTTTTAAACCTTGAATAATGCAATCACATGCTGTTAGATTCACTTTCTGTTTCTACCCTTGTTGAATGTGTATGTAATGTTTGCATTAGGTGAGACATTTCAAATGAAATCATTCAAACACAGACGGGCAAATGTGTCGCCATCATTTTCTGAATGTTTGTTGTTGGTGAATTAAGACGTACTTGGTGTCTTTGCTACAAGTGTCAGGTTTTGTCAGCACCTTTTGTCCACACATGTGACGGGTTGAAGCAACACAAAGACAGATCTTTGAAAATTAATGTGCGATACATTGCTTTGTTTTTATTTGGGTGTTGTTGATTTAAAGTACACCTTTATTTTTGATTTATTTTGCTATGATTTTAATAAAAACATGAAACTTTACAAATCACCTGAGTGTTATTAAACTGTTGAGACACTGACGAGCTTAACATTAGTGTTAGTGTTAGTCTGGCTGCGGTTCGGAAACGGGGCGCCACAAAAAAACAGAAGAAATTTGTCCTGTTTGAACACGTTAAGCAAGACAAACGCCTTCTGATTCAGTCAGGATGTTATGCCGATAGATTGCCACTGAAAGTATTTCCCTGAAATGATTGTAAGGAATGTTAAATTCTTACAATAAGACGTGCCAGATGAGAGGAAATCATCAATTAAAACCAATATTCTAAGATATTTTTTTGTGATTTTCGCCAAGTCACAAGCTTAGAAGGTCAGCAGTTGACCTTTGGAATATGTGGCTCCATCTCCTTTTTGCTTATCAGTGAGCTTGATGTTGATGTGTGACCCAAACACAGACACCCATACAGAACATGTGTATAGTTTCTAACTTATGTCTAACTTTACCTAGGCAGTATACTGAATACTCTAACTGTTGCTGCGAATATGCAGCTTTATCTCTTGTGTCATCTGACTTGCGGCTCAGAGTACATGCAGCACTGTTGCCACTCATCCTGTTGTAAGCTTTATGCTTCCGGACAATTTAATCAGATCAATTCCTTGGAATATGCACCAGGAAACATAAAATTCAGCTGAGCAAAGTACAGCCCGCAGGTGACTTGAGATATGAAAAACGTCTGCCTAAGAAATCGATTTTATTCCTCTCTCTGTTTGAGCTTCCTATGTGGAGAGTTTGTTTTCCGGTTTTTCTGCCGAAGGAAAATCTTTAATGCATTGACAAAGAGTGCGATTTTCTTTTTTGATGAGTAATAACTACTTTGGAAGTCAGTCACGGTCCATTATGTAATTTACATGTTAAAACTTGACGCCAGCAAGGCAGACACACTGATAATGGAGTTTTTATGGGAGCTGGAGATGTCTTGTGTGCAGCACTTAAAAATTGAGAAATAAAAGCATATTTATGCATATATGCATAGATTATGATGCCACACCACATTTACTGTTGTTTCACTGTAGTTCATTCTGAGCAGCAGCCAGCAGAGTGCAGCACCACACACTAAATCACAAGATGCCACCCCTAGCACAGCTTCCACAGCAACAGCATGCTGCATGAGGGAAGCTTTTGATTTTGAGGGGGCAAAAAGAAGAACAAAACAAGCCAAGTCAACAAGAAGTCTGCCAGTTTCACTTCCCTCTGTAGAATCTGCTTGTGAGGTTGGAGGTGATAAATAAAAAATCTTTCTTGTTTTCCGGCTTTTCTTTTCTGCCCTGTTGTTGTGATGACAGACTCTCGGACTGCTCTTCACATGGATACGTGAAGGCACCTGACTGTGGATTTCCACCTCTGTGAGGAAGGTGGAAAGTCAAGCGGGCACATAAATATGTGAGAAATTCTTGCTGACAGGCTCGATGCAACACACACACACCTGGCATCTTCTTCACAGAATAACGAATATTAAGCTGCATAAATCTGCTTGTCACGTGTTTATCTGAAAGTAATATACAGCCACTGGATTTGTGGCCTTTTTACTCCGAGTTGTTTGCACAGGAACAACTCAGGATGTGTGCAGTTGTTTGGTGATCAGCAGCAACTCAGCACTACGTTTACGAGACGTGACGAGGGAATTATGGAGTTAGAAGGCTTGTGAGGATGTGATTCACAAGCAAAGGGCTTTATAGGGTGAGAGGAAAAAAATTATCTTTGGCCTTGAATCTTTTTCCCTCTATTTGTAATGTGAATATTTTAGACACTATGTTTACCTTTAAGTCTGTGTTTCCATTTGAAAGAATAACAAGAGGCTTCATTTTTGAACCTTGAACGTATACAAGAAAAGCTCATTAATAGAAGCTGCACAACATTAAACTCCCTGTAAAGCTTAACGTGCCTCTGACAGACTTAAGATGCAAAGAGGTTCTAGTTCACTGCAGTTCAGACACACTAATTATCACTGATTAAGGCGACACTTCCTGACCTGTTAGTTTCTTTCCATAATTGCTTCTGATCACAGTTTTTAAATGCTTCGCTCAAACTTCCCTCCATGTTCAAACACAGATAAAGATTCTTCATAATTTGGATTTGCAAGCGTCACAAGTTTTCCCTTTTTCTGCACAACTTGTTCTCAACATATTGTTTTGTGTTTTTAGGAAATCTTTGCTAATATTAGAGTACACTTGTTTCTTTATTGTTTTTAAATAAATAATTGCATTGTTTCACAGCATTTTGACTTCGCATGGAAGGAATATTACAGGTAGAACTATTTATATGAACAATGCAGCATGTAATTCAATGCAGTTCAGCAGGGAAAAATGACACAATGACATCTGTGCAAAAGATCTTTTCAGTTCCAAGATTTCAGAGAGTTCATGTGGTTTTACCATGAAACTGTAGAACAGTCAGACACAAAATGCATTAATAATGAAATCACCTTAATGTCAATTTATAAAAGCAAATGTAGGAGTTTTATATTC